GCAGCCGCGGGGGCTTTTGGAGACCCGCTGTGGCTAGCTGTGGCTAGCTGTGGCTAGCTGTGGCTAGCTGTGGCTAGTTGTGGCTAGCTGTGGCTAATTGTGGCTAGCTTTGGCTAGCTGCAGCTTGCTGTGCTAGCTGTGGCTAATTGTGGCTAGCTGTGGCTAGCTGCGGCCAGCTGTGTCTCATTGTGGCTAGCCGTGGCTAGCTGGAGCTAGCTGTGGCTAATTGTTGCTAGCTGTGGCTAGCTGCAGCTAGCTGCTGCGAGTCGCTTCACTAAGTTGCGGCCCAGAGTAGCTAGCCCTGGCTAGTTGTGGCTAGCTGCAGCTATTTGGGCTCAACTGCAGCTAGCTGCTAGCTAGCTGCAGCTAGCTGTGACCTTTTTCGATTAGCTGCAGCAAGCTGCGGCTAGCTACAGCAACCTGTGGCTAGCTGCAGCAACCGGTGGCTAGCTGCAGCTAGCTGCGTCAGTGCGCGTTGGGCCTGGGGCTGCAGCAGCAGTTTGCTGCTGCTCTGCTGCTGCTGCTGCGCAGCGTTAAGGCTTTAGTTTCTGGCTGTGTGGGGGAGGGCCTGGAGTGGGAACTTGAGATGAATGAGTTCATCAAGAACTACAAGTTTAAAGATATTTGTCAAGACTTATTGAAGATAAATGAAAGCTTTTTAATTTTATTGAAGTTTAAATGAAGAATAATAATTATTTATTTAAGTATAAATTAATATCTGGGGAACTAAACAGCAGACACTATCTGTGGAAGTTCACAGGTCCCCAGTGCTTGCCTACAAAGGTTTGTACGTAAGATCTGAGTGCATTTATGAATCAACATTTATAAATAAACATTTATAAATAAAGATTTATAAATAATTATATTTTATTTATTATATTTTATATTTATACTTTTGAGTTGTGTTCAGATCTGCATGCAATGAGTGGCGCTGTTCTTTCTTTGACTCTGTGAGTTTTGAGGTGTACAGACAGCGCACGCAGCAGCACGGGGAGCTGGCTTTCGGTATTTCTTTTGCTAAAGAGTTTTATAATTTTGTTTATATATTTAAATTTGAAAAACAAATTAAATGGGAATTGATTTGGTGGGCGAAAAGCTTGCAGGGGGTGTTTCCAGGTGTACGTACACCCGAAGGAGAGCGGCTGCAGCGCTCTCCGGTGTGCAGCGACGGCAGTTTTGTTTTGCATTTATTCTGGGCTTTTTGAGTCAATTTGCGTTTAAAATGAATTATAAATTCTTTTTAAACTAATTATTATCAAAGTAGTGCTTTTATTTCCCACGAACGGCCGCCTGAAGCGCAGCACGCAAAGCCCCGAGGCCTTAGCTGGCTGTACATACACCGCAGAGGTGACCCTTGCGCATTTCCTTTCTTTCTCCTTTTCCTTTCAAGTTTATTTATTTATTTTAAATCTGTAAGTTAATATTTGATTTTAATTTAAATTAACTCCAAGCCGAGGTGCCTTTGGCTGCGAACTCCGGGCCTGGTGTGCCGCACAGACCCAAGCCAAAGTGACAGAGCAAATCTTTAGATGGACCTGCGGCAGCAGCAGCAGCAGAGGCAGCAGCAGCAACAGCAGCAGTTAACAGCATCAGCTAGCTGCAGCGGAAGTCAGCTGCTGCAGCAGCAGCTGCTGCTGCTGTTGCCTGGGTGACGCGCGTGGCGCTGCAAGCAGCAGCAGCAGCACCAACTGGAAGCGAAGCAGAAGAAGCTGAGGAGAGTCCTACTGCAGCAGGCAGCAACAGGAAGCACTGCAGCAGCTGCTGCTGCAGCTAGCTGCCGCTACAGCGGAACAAACGCCAGCAAGAATAAGTGGTAGCAGGAAAGCTCTGAGCAGCAGCAAAAGTAGCAGCCGCGTGGAAGGCAGCGGCACGGGAAACAGCAGCAACAGCAGCAGCAGCAGCTTTTGTCTGGCAAGCAGCAGAAGCAGCAAATTGAGCAAGTCAGCCTGACACCCTGCGACTGCAATCTGCAGCGTCTGCTGCAGCAGGATTGTGTGCAACAGCAGCAGCAGCTGCAGCAGCAGCGGCCACAGAAGCAACAGTAGCAGCAGTCGCAGCAGCAGCAGCAGCGGCCACAGCAGCAGCAGTAGCAGCAGCCGCAGCATCAGGAGCCACAGACGCCACCCCAGCAGCAGCCACCCCAGCAGCAGCAGCAGCAGCAGCAGCAGCAAAGATGGGGGAAGAAGCAGCTCGCCACGTGGCTGCTTATTTGGAATACGACGCCCTCGTGGGATCGACAGCTGGGGATCGTCTTCTGTCTCCCGAGGTGTCTGTACACCTGAGCTGAATCTGAAGTGGCTTTTTGCTTAATTGCAAAACTGCTGTAAACATTTACATAATAAATATATATTTAATACACAATTGATAATATTAAATCTGTTTTAAATGTATATTTCAACATATGTATATGAGTCTAGAAGTAGATAATATTCCCGTGCCTGCATCTGCTGCTGCTGCTGCTGCTGCTGC